CGCTATTGGCTATTTTAAAAAGGGGCAGGGCTGCTTGATATGTCCCGCCCTGTCTTTCTGTTTCAGTTAAAATGACATCAACACATAGAGTAACGCTGCGTGTTTCTAAGCATTTCAGGGGACCTTTAAAGGTGCAGTATGAATTGCTGACAGCTAGCGGTTTAAATGCAAGTGTAGAAATTATTAGGAAAGATTTTCCTACTGTATTATAAAGCAAAAATAATATACCTATGAAATATTAATATTCACTTATTTTACAGTGCAATTGTTTTACAATATATGGCTATTATTGTCATTGTTGTTATTATTATTAAAACAAAGTAATTTCGCTTTCACAACGAAACACACAGCGTCACACATGGAGGGCTAGAGTGAGCGGCGGCGGGCGGGCTTGAGAATGGCGCGGCCGGCGGGCTTGTGGCAACCACATGTGACGACCCCAGGCTGGACTCCGCTTCGTCCACGGTGAAAGCCGATCCGGCGATCCACAGCGCGAAGTTGATGTATTTCCTCAGCGACCAGCATGGATCAGCTCCAGGCATGACAAAGCGGATATCGTCCTCTTTTGGAAGGCCAAACAAAGTAGTTTCGCTTTCACAACGAAACACACAGCACCTTCACGACATGGGTGTGGCGGCAACAACAATACTACAGCGAGAATAAAAGTTAAGCCTTCTTTCTTTGCATGAACATTTGGGCGGCGTTATGCAAATCTTCCCACATCTTGATGTAGACATATTGGGGCGTGTTAGAACGAGATGTTTTAGGTAGGTGTGGTTGACTCTTAACTTTTATAAAGAATATCTCTTTGGATTTGAGACTTTAGTCTTTGCAACTTTACAGATCTTCTTTATGCACCAAGAGCTTGTAACACTCCAAAGAGAAAGGAAAAGTTGAAATCGCATCATATGACCCCTTTAACATAAAACTTGTATGAACTTGTGGCAACCTAACATATGAAAATGTTCATAATAACATAATTGCAATAATGTTCTATTAGTAAAGGGGGGAACAAACCTTCCTGAGTTTACGTGGAACACGTTCAGACTCACTATTGTCTGTTTTTGAGGTACGTTACACTTCTTGAATCAAGGCCTTAATATCACGTGCTGACAGTACTGTGCCCCGTTTTCTCCTGCCTTGCTTCCTGGCCTTTCTTTCAGCTCTTCTTCCATTATCTCCCTCTCTCCACAACGTACTTCAATTTCCAGTTCTCTCAGCTGCGTTGTTGCGTCCTTCAGCGTTGCAAATGTTTTCTCCCCAGTGCTAAGTTTGTTGTGCCGGGTATATGCATTTTGCCTCTATTCCCTTCCTTTTTAGCTGTTTGATGACTTCGTAGACTTTTGCTCTTTTCTTCTGAAGGTCCGGAGAGTAGTCTTGGTCAAAGAAAATTCGCCTTTCTTGGAAGTGAATCTGACCCTGGCTCCACGCTTGTCTGATGATCGTGTCTTTCACCACTGCATCCAGGAATCTTATGATAATCGACCTGGGGGGAGCTGTTGGGTCCACTGGCTTTGGTTGCTAATGAGCGATGTGCTCTTTCGATCTTAATATCCATGTCTGGTGGTAAATTAAGCACATCATTCAGCAACTTCTTCACAAATCCTGCCATATCTTTTGCTTCACTTCCTTCTGGTATCTGATAGATTTGGATGTTATTGCGCCTCATTCTGTTTTCAAGTTAATCACACTTTGCAGTGAGATCCACATCCCGGTGGAGCAGGTACTTTATTGCCCTCTTATGTCGCATCATTATATCTTCCACGTGCTTATTCTCTCTTCCACCTTTTCGATTCTCTCTTCGTGTTCAGTTAATTGATCCTTTATATCTTTGACCGTTTGCTCCACTCTTTCTAGGGACATCTTAGTTGAATTGTGTCCTTGATTTTCTTTACGGAGTTTCTTTAATTCCTTCAGCACATCTTGATCTTGCTGACGTCCATTAGCATTGCCTATGCTAATTGGACTCAGTGTTCTCCGTTTTTCTTCCTTTCCCTCCTTATCTTCTTTCTTCCTTTCCTCCTTTGGTGCTCATCTTTTGTCTCGAAGTCAAACTCATTTCACCGGTGAACTTGTTTTTCTTTATTTTAAATGCTAGTTTAAAGCTAGCTTAAGTTTTTGACTGAACTCTGTTTAATGCTGCTTACTCGTAGCGCCACCGGAAGTTCAGCTTTAACTTTAAAATGTACAAAATGTAAATTTTTTCCAATTCCTTATTTGTCTTTTTTTTTTTAAAGATTGCAATAAATATCGTATTGTGGACGTCATATCGCGATATTATCGTATAGTGAGATTTTGATATTATTACATCCCTAGTGCTTGATTTGTTTTACCACATGCACTGATTAGTATATCTATAGACGTATACTATAAGTTACCTTGCAGGAGCATAGGAATGAGTTGAAAAGAAACTGATAAAACCGATTTTGCTTCAAGTCAGCATAAAATGGAAATTCACCCTACCTATTTAATAAAAAAAATGTAACTCGTAATTCTTAATCAATTTCTAACAAGTGCACATTCAGCCAGTTTGCCTCCACCTACTCAACAAATGATGGAATGAACCAAGTACAGTGGTGTGAAAAAGTGTTGGACCCCTTCCTGAGACAAACATGCAAAAAAATAAGAAATCAGGAAGGGGGCCAACACTTTTTCACACCACTGTATATGTTTATCATTTTCAATAATTGTTTCACTCAGATGTACCTATGTCATAGTATGGAAGAAATGATGTTGCTGTTTCCATTTCTTTGTGACTTTAAAGGGGTCATGAACTGAGAAATCAAAATTCCCTTTGATCTTTTGGCATATAAGAGGCCAATGTGCTATAAAAACATTCTGTAAGTTTGTTTCAGAACTCAGAACTTTTTCGTTAGTCTAAAAACAGCATATATTGAAGCCAGTTTGACAAAACGACAGCTTGTGGAATATGCCACTCTATGATGTAATAGTGTGGCTAAGCACCACCACCGCAGAAGATCAATGCCTGCTTCTACATCACTGCCTGTTTAGCCCCGCCCACTGATTCACGCATGTAGTGTAAATAACAAGAGAGGCGAACACAGGTCTCCACAGAAACCAAATGATAAAGATGCTCTGAAGACAACAAGATGCTGTGCAGTGCAAAGTTGTGGAAAAACAGTCTTTGCATTGCCTTCCTTCTGATCTCAACGTTAGGAAAGAGTGAATGAACTTTGTTAATGAAGTTCCAGACCGTGTCCATAAGAATCCTTTGTTCACTTCATTTTATTGCGGATTCGTTTACAAACAAGGTACAATTTGAGGCAGGATTTTCAAAAAGATTGAGACTGAAAGACAATGCTGTACCAACTGTTATGTTCAGACAGTAATGTCGCACCAATGTCGTGTGAGAAATAAAGTTTTTATTGTGGTCACTATTGCTTTGTCTTAATACAAATCTTTTAATATGTACTGAGTATTTATGCAGTTTTAATCTAAATCACAGCAGCGTCCATCTGTAAAGCATGTAGGCTGTCAAACACGAGTGTTAGCCAATCATAGCAGTGGGCATTTACTTCCGAGTCTACAATCCGCCACGCCTATTCAAACTGAGCGTTCTGATGAGGGGGGTTAAAAACGGACAGAAAATAGCCTATTACTTTAAAATTGTTTTTTTGATGTAAAAACCTTGATAACATTATAAGTGGACCTCAGAGAACAGTACAAAATAAAAAACAAAGGCAGTTCATGACCCCTTTAAAATGTTATGCTTATAATACAACAGATTTTTTTTTGATTTAGAATTTATATCATAAAATTGCAAAATAGAAGCATTTTGGTTAATCACAAGTTATGATTTAACAATATATACATTTAACATTATAGTAATGGGGACTTTTTCTCAGCAATTGGAATCTTTTGAATCTCTTCACCAAAAGGATTTGTTTGGCTTGGTTTCCTGAATGGTTCAGTCACTCTTTCTGCATGTTACATTGTTACACTAGGAGGTGGTGACAAATGATTCGTTTGTGTTATGAGTGACTCACTAAATCATTCACTCAACTGACTTGTTCACAGATGCCTCACTGATTCAGTTTGTTTACATATTCGTTCAGTAGGTCCAACAAATAAAAGTTTCCTTTACAACACGTAAATTCAAAACTATGAGTATATGATTCATTCCCTAAATGATTAATTTAGAAAACACTGATTTACTCACAAATACAAAATACTACTTTTTAGTATAAATGTTGCAAAGTGGTCATCACTGAGATTTGGTATATTTTTGCGATATTAAAGTCTCTCTTTGTTTTTCTCTCAGGTTGTTGCACAGGGGTTTGAAGGTGCATGTGACAGCTCACACCAATTGCGGGAACTCTGAGTATGGCCTTAGCTGGATGCCCAGACTATTTCCTCCATCATCCAAACTACCAGGTAAAGCCTAGTATAGAAGTATCTGTATTGCTCCTTCTGAAGCAATGGAGTCTACAGAGCTTTCAAGTTCAGCAGGGCACTGTGTCAGTGTTCCCTGACCGTGCTGTAATGACTCCTCGAGCGGAATCTGCACGCAAACCTGAGCGCTCACATGCACAAATCCTCCTGAACTAGCTCAAGGGGACTCATCGCTTCAGCACGGCGGTTCCCGAGGGTTCTGTGGCATGTCCGCATGCCTTTCGTCGCCATGGCGTTGCCATAGTGCTGCACAGCTGACATGCTGACATGCAAAGTGGCGGCTGTTGCTATTTATACCCGGGCTACGCAGTCAGCCCTCTTTCTCTGTATTTGACTTTGCTTGTCTTCTCACTCTCTCTAATATGATTCATTTAGTTTAAATTTTATAAACTATCCAGCACTTCCACAAACTGTTTCTTTCTCAGACCCTCCCCCTTCTTCCCTGCCCATACCTGGGATGGCTATACAAGTGGCTGGTGCTTGTGAACATGGCAGAGCTTGAGTGTATACGGTGAAGGCAGGGGTGTGGGCTGCCCTCTGTCTGTGGCCGTATGTAACTCTGCAGGGGGTTTCTCAGAGCCACAGGCACCTGGCCTGGATCTTCTCAAGCAGGGGGGCAACGCAGCCCAAATATTCACTTCAGGCCAACACAACTCCGGCACCCTGGCTTGCACTGTGGTTCTGCTCTTTTTCTCTTTAAGGCATTAAAGGGACTGTAGTCCACTTTCACATTTATTTATTTATAATGTGACCAAAATACCTAAAATTAAATCTTTAAATAAATTGTTAAATACCTAATTAAATTATTAATAAAACATTCAAAAATCCAATGTCTTTGGATTGAAATTAAGCCAAAGTTAATGATAAAAATGAATGCAAACTAATTCTAAAATGAAATACAACAGATATTTATTCATGTGTATTATAATTTAATAATTTATTACATTAATTGATCAAACTTTGTATAGGCCTTTTTATGCCTTTATTTGTACAGGACAGTATAGAGCAGACAGCATTGGGTGGAGAGAGATGGGAGCGGGTTTGGCAAAGGACCATGAGACGGGATTCGAACTCGGGTCACCGTGAGCGCAGTTGTATTTAGGGATGCACCAATCCGATACTGCCATTTCCTGCCGGATTGGGTATCGGTCAGACGAGACCGATCCAAATCCGATAATGTTTGTTAACTATTGTGTTATTGTGAAGCCCCATGAAATGCACAAAAACCTTATAAAGCACCATAAAGTTATCGTGCACTATATTCCAAGTGTTCTGAAGCCGTTCCATAATTTAATGTGAGGTACAGATGAATATATAAATTAAATTCAAGTTCACGTAAACTCTTCTTTCTGCTGCGGCTGTCTGTTATCCTCCATTCAGCATTCAAACTACGTGTTTCGTTCAGTTGTGACAGTCAAGATACTCTGTATCGAATTAGAGATATTTTTCATTATTAACAAATTCATTCATTTTTCAGAGATTTATCAGTATTATTGAAATTGTGCATGCTTATTTCTCATATTTTTATGTTTTGAAGTTAATCTTTAAAAACGCTTTTAAATGTAATCTTTAGCAAATCTCATAGTATATGCATTTTTTCATATTGTACATTGTATCATCCTGTACATTTATAAAAATGCTTAAATTCAAATGCATTTAGTTTTTAGGTTTGTTTATATATTTAGACAATAGTATAGAATTTTTAATATTGACCATTTATCGCTATGACATGAAAATATTTAGTAGTTTATTGTAATTGGCCAGAATTTTAAAGGGGTCATGAACTGCCTTTGTTTTTGTATTTTGTACTGTTCTCTGAGGTCCACTTACAATGTTATCAAGATTTTTACATAAAAAAAACATCATAATTTAGAAGTAATCGGCTATTTTCTGTCTGGTTTTAAACCCCTCATCAGAGTGCTCTGTTTGAATAGGCGTGGCGAATTGTAGACTCGGAAGTAAACACCCACTGCTATGATTGGCTAACAGCTGTGTATGTTTGACAGCGTACATTCCTCACAGATGGATGCTCCTATGATTTATGTCAAAAAGGCATAAACAACTCAATAAATATCAAACGATCTGTAAGAAGAGACAAAGCAATAGTGACCACGTAATGAAAACAGTTACTCACACGTATGTTGCTACATTACTGTCAGATTCAATCTTTTTGAAAATACCGAATCAAATTGTGCCTTGTTTGTAAACGAATTCGCAGTACAATGAAGTGAACAAAGGACCAAGTTCTTCCTGACGTGGTCTGTATCTTCAATAAAAATAAAGTTAATTCACTCTTTCCTTACATTGGGATCAGAAGTAAGGCAACGCAAACACTGTGCGTTACAGCGTCTTGTTGTCTTCAGAGCATCTTTGTGTGGTTTCTGCGTAGACCTGTGTTCGCCTCTCTTGTAAACACTACATGCTCGAATTGGTGGGTGGGGCTAAACAGGCAGTGATGTAGAAGCAGGCGTTCATCTTCCTCTGTGGAGGCGGTGCTTATCCACACTATTACATCATAGAGTAGAACATTCCACAAGCTGTTGTTTTGGCAGACTGCCTTCAATATAGGCTCTCTTTAGACTAATGGCAAAGTTTTGAGTTCTGAAACTTACAGGATGTCTTTATAGTACAATGACTTCTTATGTCAAAACATCAAGGGAATTTTGGTTTCTCAGTTCATGTCCCCTTTTATATCAGGTTATCCCTGTTTTTTCTTCCTTTTTTTTTGGTCTACACTTACTTTTTCTTTTCTTCCTGCCCAGTGTTTCTCTATATGTATTCTTATCGATTTTTTTCCTGAGAAGTGTACATCTTTGTTTAATCTTTCTTAGTATCATATCTGCAAATTTAGTTCAGTCAGTCTGTTATCCGTTATTTCTTTTCCTCTTTAGGTATGGTTAGGGATTAGTTCCGTGGCGAGTTGTAAGTCTTAAGTTGCTTGTAGTTAATGAGGATGACGATTAGGCTCAGAGGTCATAGGTCAAAAGGAGACTTGGAATTGTGTTTCAGTTTTATAGCTGGGTGTCTGGTCACCAAGAGCCAAATGGGAAAGTTGAGCAATTGTGTTTGTTTGTGGATCACATCAGCGCCTAGAATGGCCAAGTTATGGCTTTCAGGGTCAGAGATCAACTCCAAAATGCTTTGGATTTCTAACCACTCTTTAGCCTAGTCAATAGCCAAGGCTCTACTTGGGTCACGTGACCTGCCTTTCTAGGAAATTCTCTGCCTTTGTTGCCCCGTGGAATCAGCTGGTGGGTTAAGGTTTACATAACGGACACAAGGCCTGGAGCCCATCCAAGTACAACACACACATATATATACACACACCCTCTCGCATTCCTCTGTCAACCCCTGCTACAGATCCTGGTGCGTTCCATTTTTGAGCTTCCTTGAAGAGAGTAAAAAGTATGTAAAAAGCCTTTAAAGTTTGAATTTAAAGTAATATGGCCCAAATTCAACCCGGTTTAATTGAGCAAATAAAAAGTGAATAACTTCTGTTGGTGTGCAGCATTTTTTGGTCTTTTAACATTGCTCAAGATTAACAGTACACTGGCTGAAGCATTAGAGAAGCTTTCTCAGAGCTGTAAATTTCCCTTCTCTTTTTTATAGATGTTTTTCTCTTTTCTGAGAGCCGGCTGGCTTGGTGCAGCGTGAAGAGAGAAATGGAAAGAAGGCAGGCAGAAAAGAGAGCATGGGGACCTCTGGCAGAGGCTAGTTCCTGGAAATTCGGCTTCCATGTTCTTAGGTTTCCTAGAAAACTGGAAATTGAAAATGTGGCTTTACTTTTATTTTTATTTTTTTCTTGGACTACTACTCTCAGCTTTGTGCATTCTGCTTTGAATTATATGGTGTGAGATTGTGTGTGCGGTTTGAGAGCACTAGAGCTGTTGTTTTAGGTTATGGACATATGTTTTTTATTTTATCCAATAGATAAATAACCTATTTGATGTATTATTTCAGAGATGAAGTCTATATTGGAGTATTTGCCCATTTCCAAATTATAACTGAGATGTAAACTATGACATTAAAGAATAGGTCACCCAAAAACTGTCATCATTTACTCACCCTTATGTTGGTCATTTTCTTTACTGGAATGCAAAAGAAGATTGGGGCTCTCAAGCTTCAAAAAGCATGCAAAATCATCGTTAAAGTATCATAAAAATATTCCATATGGTTCGTGATGATCTTCCAAGTCATTTGTTAGTTTTATGGGAGAAATAGACCAAAACTTATTCACTGATAATCTTCCCTTCTTACTGGACCATTAAGTCAAAAAGTCAAAACTGGATCAGTTAGTTTTGTAAACTGGATCAACTAATTCATTAAAAGATCCGATTCAGAAAAATTATTCACTCATGATCAGGAATCCGAAATCGCTGATACATTCATGAATGCAGATGTCAAAATTTTGAGTGAGTAACATTGTAAATTTCAGTCTGCTCCTCACACAAAGAAATCACATGACTTCAGAAGATTTGAAATATAGAGCACAGTGGTCGTATATATTGTTTCTTATTGTTTTACCATGCAATTTATTGTTTTCAATGATTATGAAAACAAAATAATTGTAATAAAACAATTACTGTGCCGTATTCCATTTCACTCTTGTTTTATGTTAGGAATCCATTTTCCCCCTTTTCCTTGAAAGCACTCGCCCTTCCCTAAATGTTTATTAGTTTTCAGGAGGTTGTGAAAGTGCACCACTACAACATAGTTGATATTATTAGTTTTTTTTTTTTAAATATAATTTGTATATTATTTATTTAAATGTATTTCAATCATGACAACTGTCGGAAGATTTTAGCATGGTGATGGATATGATAATGTTATTGTATTTGGTCTCGGCAGATTAGATCTGCCAATGCATATGGCGATACGGTGCCATGAGTATTTAAGACATACTGCTGCTGCACAAATAGCATATAAAATAACCCGTAGCAGATCTATACAGGTGGAGCTGGGGAAGGTGGAGGGTTTCAGAGAAACTCTGAAAGCGCGCTGCAGGAGTCTCAAGTGAATGCTAGCCAGCCATATAAATGCAAGGCAGTAAGCTCATTGGCTGCATATGCAGCATGAACCAATCAGCTTGTGCCAAGTCGTTTAACTCTCTGAATATCATCAGTTACATTAACAACCCGTCAGCCTGCGCCATCTAGAGTTTCATGACTGAACTATATATATATACTTATATGTAAGTGTATGTAATATAATATATTGTAATCTTGTGATCCCAATATTAACCAAGATATTTGATTGATTTTTGTCATCATTGAGCAGCCTTGCTTTCAATCCTCATTTATTTTCATTATTTTGAAGTGACCAGTATTTTTTAATTTTTTTCAAAAAATTTACTTTTTTTTTTTTACTTGATAGAAGAAAGTAAATCATACAAGAACATTTATAAGGGTGAGCAAGTGATGACAAAATCCTCATTTTTTTGGGTGGTGAATGGTTCCATTAAAGATTAGAAGTATCTACATTAGAAGCACACTATAGCCTGAAATTCTCATAAAGTATTGGTCATGGCATAAAGTGGCGGAGACATCAGCTTGCATGCATCTCTTCATATATATAATTTTTATGTACTTGAGCTGTCTGACCTTCTCAGGTTTTTTTTTCTTCAGGACATTGTTGACCGCACCCCCTCTCACAGACCATCAAATCTCATCGGTTCAAGCTTCCAGCAGTCGTCCAATCGGAATTCTCCTAATCACCCAGGTGGGTTATTAAAGGGCCGTTCTCTGGTTTTATTCCTGTACATTCAATTACTTTAGTTCTGTTGCATTTGGAGTGGCAACATCTAATTGGATTGCACAGGAAGCGTTTGTCCTCAGTAGCATTGTGGAGGTCACTGGGTTCTGTAAGGTCACAGAGGTTACTGGCGACCCCTCCTGTAGCTGCAGTGGTTGTGTGCACTTAGCGTTGTATATCCTCCACGAGCTGTGCAAGTCAGGGCCTTTCCCGAATTGCTAACCGTTTTATAGCCGTGAGCAAAGCTGTTGGCCACAGATCTTGTGTGTGTCTATGTCCTGCTCTGCTGTCCAGATGCTGCCTTGCTTTAACGTGTCACTACCCTGAAGCATATAGATTTTTCAGAAAGCCACAGCAGGCTATTGTGTGTAGACATATATACACTGTGGGCTGGTTGCACTGGTCAGGGTTGTAAAAAATGCTGACATTGATACATGCATACATCTTCTTGGCTGTCTATTGTTTTTATATAAAGAATTCTAAATACTAATTTATAGTAAACAACCCACTTAAAGCAGAGGTTTGGGAACTGGGTCCAATGAGCCCCTAGGAGGTCAGAAGGTTTATATATGCTTGCACACACACACACACATATATATATTTATCCTTTATACATAAATATAGCTGCCTTTGTATTTTAGGAATTGAGTTCCTTTTGAAAAAAAAAACACCTTGGTGTAAAATTGTTTTAAAACCCCTGCATCCAGGAAAACAGTAATACAAATTATTTATGATTAATTTTTCCAAATGAGAGCATCATCAAACTGAGATCAAAGGGAGAGTTTGTCATATTTAGTTAACTTGGGACAAATGTGTATGTTTGTGGATCACATCAGCGCCTAGAATGGCCAAGTTATGGCTTTCAGGGTCAGAGATCAACTCCAAAATGCTTTGGATTTCTAACCACTCTTTAGCCTAGTCAATAGCCAAGGCTCTACTTGGGTCACGTGACCTGCCTTTCTAGGAAATTCTCTGCCTTTGTTGCCCCGTGGAATCAGCTGGTGGGTTAAGGTTTACATAACGGACACAAGGCCTGGAGCCCATCCAAGTACAACACACACATATATATACACACACCCTCTCGCATTCCTCTGTCAACCCCTGCTACAGATCCTGGTGCGTTCCATTTTTGAGCTTCCTTGAAGAGAGTAAAAAGTATGTAAAAAGCCTTTAAAGTTTGAATTTAAAGTAATATGGCCCAAATTCAACCCGGTTTAATTGAGCAAATAAAAAGTGAATAACTTCTGTTGGTGTGCAGCATTTTTTGGTCTTTTAACATTGCTCAAGATTAACAGTACACTGGCTGAAGCATTAGAGAAGCTTTCTCAGAGCTGTAAATTTCCCTTCTCTTTTTTATAGATGTTTTTCTCTTTTCTGAGAGCCGGCTGGCTTGGTGCAGCGTGAAGAGAGAAATGGAAAGAAGGCAGGCAGAAAAGAGAGCATGGGGACCTCTGGCAGAGGCTAGTTCCTGGAAATTCGGCTTCCATGTTCTTAGGTTTCCTAGAAAACTGGAAATTGAAAATGTGGCTTTACTTTTATTTTTATTTTTTTCTTGGACTACTACTCTCAGCTTTGTGCATTCTGCTTTGAATTATATGGTGTGAGATTGTGTGTGCGGTTTGAGAGCACTAGAGCTGTTGTTTTAGGTTATGGACATATGTTTTTTATTTTATCCAATAGATAAATAACCTATTTGATGTATTATTTCAGAGATGAAGTCTATATTGGAGTATTTGCCCATTTCCAAATTATAACTGAGATGTAAACTATGACATTAAAGAATAGGTCACCCAAAAACTGTCATCATTTACTCACCCTTATGTTGGTCATTTTCTTTACTGGAATGCAAAAGAAGATTGGGGCTCTCAAGCTTCAAAAAGCATGCAAAATCATCGTTAAAGTATCATAAAAATATTCCATATGGTTCGTGATGATCTTCCAAGTCATTTGTTAGTTTTATGGGAGAAATAGACCAAAACTTATTCACTGATAATCTTCCCTTCTTACTGGACCATTAAGTCAAAAAGTCAAAACTGGATCAGTTAGTTTTGTAAACTGGATCAACTAATTCATTAAAAGATCCGATTCAGAAAAATTATTCACTCATGATCAGGAATCCGAAATCGCTGATACATTCATGAATGCAGATGTCAAAATTTTGAGTGAGTAACATTGTAAATTTCAGTCTGCTCCTCACACAAAGAAATCACATGACTTCAGAAGATTTGAAATATAGAGCATATATATTGTTTATATTGTTTCTTATTGTTTTACCATGCAATTTATTGTTTTCAATGATTATGAAAACAAAATAAAACAATTAAAACAATTACTGTGCCGTATTCCATTTCACTCTTGTTTTATGTTAGGAATCCATTTTCCCCCTTTTCCTTGAAAGCACTCGCCCTTCCCTAAATGTTTATTAGTTTTCAGGAGGTTGTGAAAGTGCACCACTACAACATAGTTGATATTATTAGTTTTTTTTTTTTAAATATAATTTGTATATTATTTATTTAAATGTATTTCAATCATGACAACTGTCGGAAGATTTTAGCATGGTGATGGATATGATAATGTTATTGTATTTGGTCTCGGCAGATTAGATCTGCCAATGCATATGGCGATACGGTGCCATGAGTATTTAAGACATACTGCTGCTGCACAAATAGCATATAAAATAACCCGTAGCAGATCTATACAGGTGGAGCTGGGGAAGGTGGAGGGTTTCAGAGAAACTCTGAAAGCGCGCTGCAGGAGTCTCAAGTGAATGCTAGCCAGCCATATAAATGCAAGGCAGTAAGCTCATTGGCTGCATATGCAGCATGAACCAATCAGCTTGTGCCAAGTCGTTTAACTCTCTGAATATCATCAGTTACATTAACAACCCGTCAGCCTGCGCCATCTAGAGTTTCATGACTGAACTATATATATATACTTATATGTAAGTGTATGTAATATAATATATTGTAATCTTGTGATCCCAATATTAACCAAGATATTTGATTGATTTTTGTCATCATTGAGCAGCCTTGCTTTCAATCCTCATTTATTTTCATTATTTTGAAGTGACCAGTATTTTTTAATTTTTTTCAAAAAATTTACTTTTTTTTTTTACTTGATAGAAGAAAGTAAATCATACAAGAACATTTATAAGGGTGAGCAAGTGATGACAAAATCCTCATTTTTTTGGGTGGTGAATGGTTCCATTAAAGATTAGAAGTATCTACATTAGAAGCACACTATAGCCTGAAATTCTCATAAAGTATTGGTCATGGCATAAAGTGGCGGAGACATCAGCTTGCATGCATCTCTTCATATATATAATTTTTATGTACTTGAGCTGTCTGACCTTCTCAGGTTTTTTTTTCTTCAGGACATTGTTGACCGCACCCCCTCTCACAGACCATCAAATCTCATCGGTTCAAGCTTCCAGCAGTCGTCCAATCGGAATTCTCCTAATCACCCAGGTGGGTTATTAAAGGGCCGTTCTCTGGTTTTATTCCTGTACATTCAATTACTTTAGTTCTGTTGCATTTGGAGTGGCAACATCTAATTGGATTGCACAGGAAGCGTTTGTCCTCAGTAGCATTGTGGAGGTCACTGGGTTCTGTAAGGTCACAGAGGTTACTGGCGACCCCTCCTGTAGCTGCAGTGGTTGTGTGCACTTAGCGTTGTATATCCTCCACGAGCTGTGCAAGTCAGGGCCTTTCCCGAATTGCTAACCGTTTTATAGCCGTGAGCAAAGCTGTTGGCCACAGATCTTGTGTGTGTCTATGTCCTGCTCTGCTGTCCAGATGCTGCCTTGCTTTAACGTGTCACTACCCTGAAGCATATAGATTTTTCAGAAAGCCACAGCAGGCTATTGTGTGTAGACATATATACACTGTGGGCTGGTTGCACTGGTCAGGGTTGTAAAAAATGCTGACATTGATACATGCATACATCTTCTTGGCTGTCTATTGTTTTTATATAAAGAATTCTAAATACTAATTTATAGTAAACAACCCACTTAAAGCAGAGGTTTGGGAACTGGGTCCAATGAGCCCCTAGGAGGTCAGAAGGTTTATATATGCTTGCACACACACACACACATATATATATTTATCCTTTATACATAAATATAGCTGCCTTTGTATTTTAGGAATTGAGTTCCTTTTGAAAAAAAAAACACCTTGGTGTAAAATTGTTTTAAAACCCCTGCATCCAGGAAAACAGTAATACAAATTATTTATGATTAATTTTTCCAAATGAGAGCATCATCAAACTGAGATCAAAGGGAGAGTTTGTCATATTTAGTTAACTTGGGACAAATGTGTATGCTAAGTAAACGGAGTATTGATGTGGACTTTTTATTAACTTCTACTGTTTATATTCTGAGGTAATGATGTTTTCTTTCCTCTACTCTGAATCCTCACACAAACTGTTCTGCATTTTTAGATGCTCAATAAGACATTTAGTCTGCATATTAAGCCAATGTCCTCGTGGGGACCGTTGACGGCTTCCTAATGGGCAGGGCGAGATGGCAGTACTCCTGTATCCCATACACACACAGACACACACTTGAGGATACACACACAGTGTAAAAGCCTATAAATCTTTCTTGTTGTGTTTGTTTCTGGTCATCTGTGGCAAGCCACTGGGTGGGTGGGGGTGTATGAGTACATGCTTGCACTTACATGCCTGTTTGCGCTCTATAAGTTGAGGCTGGAGTTATATGAGGTGACCTATATTCAGTACACACACACAAAGAGAGAGAGAGCTGGGCACATGAGGTTGGACCGTCTTCTGAAACACAGTTCCACAGTGAGGAAAGAGAGCTGAAAGAAAAACAACAGGAAAGAGACAGTCTGTCTGACAGTATTAGCCACTGAAGAGATCTGTGTATCCTCTTTTGAAAAAATCACTGCTAGCTAGGAATCTTCCTTATAGATTGCTAATGAATGTTATAATTAGCTCTGTAGCTAATTTACCATTTATTTGTACTGTGTTGTTTGTTATTGTTAGTTGTTTGACAAGATCTGATATTAATAATCAAGGTATTGTGTCCCTCTTACAATAACTGATAAACCAGAGTGAACTTAAGGTTGTAAGGAACGTTCTGGAACGTTTGTCAGACTTGTCCACTAAATTAGACCCTTCGCAGGGAGCTTGACTGACAGGCGATCTGACCGAATATATCTCAGAATACACCGAAACTGAGAGTAGATTGACTTGAACTTAAAATAGCATGTATTGACATCTTTCCACAGTTGAAATAAAATACCTTCTAATGTTCATTCATGTTTATTTCTTGCTTTAATAGCAACAGTAAGTAAGGGGGGCAGGTCTTTGAAAAGGGTCAATTAGACACGCCCCTCATTCTAAAACCCGCCCTGAAAACAATCCAGCATGCAGTCAAGAGTTTAACTTGAATATGATGCATTGAGGATTTATAATTTGAAAGTGTGCAACAAGTGTGAGAACAGGATGGTAACATACAAGAGCCTATAGCATCACCATGTGCTATAGTAATGTAATTTTAAAATACCGTGGTAATAGCATGTTCTTTTACATGTAGATAGTTAATGCTATGGTTTTTTGACGTAAACTTTAATTAAATGAGTTTACCTTGGTAGCACAGGCGAAAAACATGGTATCACCATGATAACATATAAAAAGAACCTATGGTGTCTGTCAACATATACTGTGGTAATGTCATGATGTTTGGTCATACCATAGTAATTACATAGTTTTTTTTTTTATGTTACTATGGTAATAGCATGTTCTTTTATATGTAGCATGGTATTACCATTGTTTTTAAAGTAAAAGTAACCTTACATGGTAATACCATGGTATATTGTGGAAATGTTTGTGTTTGTTAGTAAGGTGACTTTAAGGAATGTGAAATGGAGAAAAGAGGAAGGGAGTGTTTGGAAAGACGAGGAAAACAGCTCTCAAAGCATATTCGGACCATTTAGAGCTTAGAGCGGTAAACGGGAAGATGCTCTTTGACAATCACTTGTACTCACTGTACCTCTTGAAGATCTTGTACTTGTAGTACCTAATTGTTTTACAGTCCTATTCATCTTATTTAATGTGCATGTTTGAGTTTGAGGAGACTTCTCTCATGCACAGGGCACTTGCCGAGCTCTCTCCTTACATTCACGAACACTTACACTCGGACTCACGCGGAAGTGTGTGGGTCTGGGGTATGTATGGAATGCACGGTAGTTCGAACGCTGCTGGTATTCTACAGGAAGTCAGAAGCAGAGCTTTGATTTAGATCTGTTTTTGAATCAGCCTCTCTGATTGGTCACTTGTCGGTTGCTAAGGTAACTCAGGTGTTGCTAAATTAATATTCGCTAGCTAGCGTAGTTAAAATTGGCATGAAACGCATTAATCTCTCTCCTCCTTTGAGTGCAGTGGATAGGCCTACATCTCAAAATCCAATCAACAACCAATGAATAAAGGTCCCACCTTAAATTTGTCCTTTTATTTATTTATTTATTTTTGTCGGCGCCAATGGCCTTGTGGTTAGTGTAGCTAAATATTATTTTTAGCTAGTCTATAAACGTTTACCCTTTATCGCTGCCTTCTCTTTGCTTTACAAGTCCGGATCGATAAGGGACAGCACGTTTCAGCAGTGGTAACTGTTCGTACTGATGAAGGAAAAGCACTTTGGTGACCCACACTACACTAGCATTACATTTAGCATGATTTGCTAGCCTTTTAAATGTACCAGTTGTTTGAGGAGATCACTCTAGGGACTTAAAAGCTTAGTTTTTATGGGTCTCGATTGCACAAAGTGCTTCTCAACTAATGGGTCATGACCCAAAAATGTGTCTCAGGGCTGTTTTGATAAGGTTGTGGACGGCAGGGAAAAAATAAGAAAAATAACGCTAAATGCTAATGATAAAATTAAGTTTTGGTACTGTGAAGGTTATCACTTGAGGTCTTGAAGCAAAACCAGATGAGAATCAGTAGGTTAAAGCATTTCAGTCATCAACCAAGTTAATGAAAATACACTCCAACTATTGAACCTGTCCAGCTTGCTTCATTTAACAGGCATGTACCATTATTACAGAGCAATTCCACAAACCACCTGCTGTTCCTCCCACAGAACAGAATGTATTGTGATGATGTGTTTTCTCTGTGAGCAAGATTGGTGGACTGTTTGGTTTTGGATATGTCAGTGAGTAATGTTGTGGGGTCATTGACTCAAGATGAATTGCTCTGAGTCAGATTAGAGGGATTTAATTAGATCAGGGAACACTGGGAAATGTGACCAAAGCACTGACCGCTTTGGTCTTTACTCATTTAATTTGATACTGCCATCTTGTGGCTATGTATTGTTAGCGGCATTGTACATTTAGTGCATTGCTTTCTTAGTTTATGCAAATACTGTTCAAATAAGACCATTAAATCTTGATTACTGTCCCAGATCCTAAATCGCTATGCTACACCATCTCAAGATGCATATATATTCAATTAAACGAACCATACTTAAAAGGAAGTTTCTTGAAACATAAGGGAAAACTGGTAACTAAAGTTTTTGCCTCAACATAAAGTTATATCAATTTCTGAAATTCCTGCACACCACTAAACCATAATACATATGGAAAACAAGTGGACATGGTGGTGAATGTTCTGTGGCTGATCTGTCAAAGTGTGTCCAAAGGCTCAGCTTAACATCATCCAGGAAGCCAGAGTGGATCCTAAAAAACTCTTCCAAAGAAATGTGGGCTGGGAGAGGAGCAATGTTGAAACCACTGCTAACCAAGAACATTTCTCATCTGCCAAAGAGCACCTGGCTGATCCCCAAGACTTTTGGAAGAATGTTCTGTGAGTCAAAAATGGAACATTTTGGATGACATGCATCCCATAATGTCTGGCGTGAAGCTAAAATGTCATTCCACAATCTAGCCAACAGTCAAACGTGGTGGTGTTAGTGTGAGAATGCCTTACTACTAGAAAACTTGACATGATTTGTTTAAAGTGAATTTTTGAAATCAAAATAAATAAATACATTCCCTAATAAAAAATGTATGTTGTGGTGCCATGGTTCAGTGCAACGTGACGTTTTATTTTAGAATATATAAGAAATTCAAATTTACATAACATTATTTTTAATTTTTTAATTAATTTGAATGCCTTATATGGTGTTATGTATAATACACATTACCTTTCAGGAGTTTGGATCTCAAGATTTAAAAAAATACTGTTCTTACAGGTCTCTTAAGCAAGAATACACTTAATGAAAAAATAATATTGTGAAATATTATTACAATTTAAAATGGCTGTTTTCTATTTTAGTCTATAATATCCTACAGAAACCATTCTAATATGTTCAGTTTGATCAGTATGATTAATTTAATGCATCCTTGCTGAATAAAATGATTATCATTTAAAAAGAAAAAACTTTCCCTGAACTTTTAAATGGTAGAGTATGGTCATCATTTCTTTTACATTTTTCATAATGGAAATTTTTGTTTATTAAAAAGGTTCTTCTGCTAGACAAATGATAGTATAAATATTACACACAGTCTCTCAGTTAATATGCATAATAATCAGTGATTAATTAGCATCCTATTGTATGTGAATTGAGTGTATTTCTGAGGCTTGTGTGGCTTGTGAATGATCTAGGACTCAATCTCTTTCTCTTTCCATGCATGTTTTTTGCTGCAGAGGATGATGTAGATCTGGAGGCCCTGGTGAATGACATGGCCTCTCTTTCTTCCTATGAGAGCATCTATGCAACCTGTGGGACCCAGCATTCGGACTCAGCCCCCCTCTTGCACAGCACTGATGGCAGTGGACTCCATGGCAACAGAGTGGCCCCACTGCCACGGGCCCCTAGTAATAAAGTGGCCGCCCTCCACTCTCCTGCCCACAAGCTCCGGCGATCACAGCCAATGCACATACATGCCGTCAGGTAATGTATATTTATATACATTATATTATATTGTATATTCACGCATTTAAGTGTGTGTTTTTAACTGGTAATGAAAATGACAACATCAGTGGAATTATGATTTCCAGACTTAGAAAATCAAGCAAATTTTGAATGTGAATTAACTTTTTTCTACATTACCTTAAACAATGAAGTATCAAAAATATAGAAATATTGTGAAATATTATTAGAGTTTAAATTAAATGTTTTCGGTTTTAAAATATCTTAAAATTTGCCAAATTTTCAGCATCATTCCTCCAGTCTTCAATGTCACGTGATTCTTCAAAAATCATTCTAATATGCTGATTTGGTTCTCGTGAAACTTTTCTTCTTATTATCAATATTGAAAATAGTTGTACTGCTTAATATTTCAAGATTCTTTCTTATAAAAAGTTCAAAAGAGCAGCATTTCATTTAAATAGATTTTATTTGTACATGTAAAATTCTTTACTCTCACTTATGATCAATTTAATGCAATTGAAACCTTGATGAATAAGTATTAATTTATTTAATAAAATATTACTAACTACCGTTCGAACAGTAGCGTAGTTGTGCTGAGATATGCTTTAATATTTCATAATTTCATCCATTTTTATGAAATGATATTAATTGAAAATAATTTGGTCAAAAGCTGTTGAAACCCTGCTTGTATCACACATTGTAATTATCAAGTCATTGATTATATCTAGTGCTGTGAATTTAATTTAGTGTGATTTAATAATAAAAATGGTCAAATGTTACTATAGTTAATTATTCATTAAAAAAGTAATTTTAAATGACTTAAAATATATTATTATAAATAATATATAAAATAATATATATATTCCCTCTTTATTTATTTTGAATGTTACCTATTTATCAGTGGGTTGATCTGGATCTAAGAAAATGTATTCATACTCTCCCCTCAGGCACGGTTGATTATATGTTATCTACGCTTGCTACATTTTAAAGTCATCTTTCTGTTCATAGTCATAATATATTCTCTCCCCAGAATCCTCTCAGACTGCTTGTTCTAATCCGCTCTTTTACACCTCACCTTTCTGCAGGGCTTCTGTATCGTTTGCTGTCTTTCAGCCGCTCTTCTCTGATCTCTATGACAGCAGGGTGTAGTTTCACACACATACACACACTGAGATGGGTTCACTCGGAGGTTCCCGTCTCTACACACTCACACAGACACGCAGTCTTCTTTCGTTCTGACTCGGCCATGAACCCTGAACGGCCCACCCCCTGCTACGGTTCGGATTTTAAAAACTCTCTCAGTTATTCCCTCAGTTATTATGGTCACTCCAACTGTGCTGAGGCAGTCATGTATTATTCCCGGTCTTATTGATGTAGATCAAAGACCCGAAGACAAGTTTAGCATCTGCAGTCTATGTGTCTTTCTGCTGAACTCTGCCGAACACTACGAAAGTTCATGAACCGGTTCTCGGTTGGCTAAGTGGGTTTCAAATCTCTAGGTTTCATTCATATATTCTGTAGTAGAATCCGTAATGCGGCGGTGAGAATTTCACACGGATTTTTCTGATTTATTTTTCATTAGCCTATCGCATTACAGCGCTGAAGTTTTCAGGGAACTTTAGGGCTTTAATTCCCTGCTCAGCTTCATATTGATTAAAACACGGATGATATTAGGAATACTGCATGGTTAATGAACCGATGAGATCTTGATGAAATGAGAAGAAACTAACAAGGTGGTTCGGTTAGATGTTGTAGCGCTAAGTGTTTTAGTGTTAGGAACAGTATGCATTTTTGAATAATTTTAAAGGTGTTCAGTACAAAAGTACAAGTACAACCTCTTTTTTTCTTGCCTCTTTGTGTCTCACCTTGTAGGCGACTTCAGGAAGAAGAGTTGCAAGTTCGTCCAGCGTCTTTGCCAGCAATTCCGAACCCGTTCCCTGAGCTCTGCAGCCCCTCGGGATCTCCTGTGCTGAGCCCTGGATCTCTGCCACAGCCATCGGAGCCACATGTAAGAGTTGAAAACAGACACTGCGCTCTGAGCCCTGTAGCTATTATCCATCAGACACGCATGAGATGTTACCTGAGTGATTTATTGCAGGTATGAGACTTGTATGTCTGGCATCCTAGTCTGTTCTCATGTATGTTTGTACGAGAAACCATCGAAGTCGAGAGAAACTGAAATGATTGGAGATTCTTTGGCATTTAAATGTTGTTTCTATGGCATTTGTCTGTCTCTGCAACTAAAATCTAGTCTCGCCCTACCTTGCATTATGGATGCCAGTGGCACATTGGTTGTTTCAAAACCTAGTGTGCTGCCTTTGTAAGATATCTTGTATTTTCAAGTCATGAAGATGAGAGACATCTAAGTTATAAGCACTTTAGCTACAGTATGTAGTTTTTCACTTAAAAGGTTAGTTCACCCAAAAATGAAAATTAGGCTGCGTTTTACTCACCCCCGAGGCATCCTAGGTGTATATGACTTTCTTCTTTCAGACGAACCCAGTCGGAGTTATATTAAAAATTATCTTTGATCTTTCAAGCTCTATCATTGCACTCAGCGGGTGTTGCATGCATCAGTCCAAAAGAAGTGAAATAAAAAGCGCCCA